TAAATCTAGCAATAATCAGCATAAAGAAATTATTTTCATAAAATATATAATGTTCTTTTGTTAATAGGAATCACAATTTGGCAAAAATTGAAAATTTTGAACCAAATTTAAGAGATAAATGAAAAATGTTTGACGAAGTTTGACGAAAAATGTTTGTCATTCTATATACTATTTTCTATACCTAATTTAATTTCAAATTATTATTATTTACCAATATTTGCCCAAGAAAAATTACTAAAATTTGTAGCCACAATATATCATAATACAATTTGCATTAAATCTTCATATTTTTCAGTCGAAGCATGGTTACATATTACATAAATATATATTTATATATATATATATATCTCTATATATATATATATATTTGAATAGTCTTGAATTGATGTTGATATATATGTTTAATTTGAGTTTAATAATCGGGCGTAACATCAATAAAAATATTGATCAATATTTTTATTGATGTACGCCCGATATTTAACTCAAATTAACATATATATTTATATATATATATATATATATAATATATATTATATAATCGCGTGTGTTTGTATATTAAAATCATATCAAACTTTCTTCATTGCCGAAAATAATTTTATGACAAATGGAAAGTTAGAAAATGCAAATGTCCTCTCCAAAAACTTGTGTTGAAAATATTACATAGATAAAATCCCAGAAACCACCACATGTAACTATTGAAAAAAAATAATGTATTCATACTTACTACATTTCAATCAGTGTTATGTATTGATTGAGTGCTTTTTATAGTTTTAGTTAATTATATATAAAAGACCTTTACTAGTCTTTGAATATTAAAAAAAGCTTCACTAATAACACTGATCACGTGAACAAGGAAAGATTGCATTATAAAGAATTACTACAGGCACAACGTCAATCTGTGATGCGGTGCTGAATATTAAATGCAGGATTAGTGCACCAAAAATACAGCACATGAATTATGAAGATTAAAATTGAAAAAATCAAATTTTGAAACAATCACTAAACCTAGCGAAAGCTACAGACCAGTAGGAGCAATATATTCAAGGCTAACCTTCATACCAATATCAGGACTTCACATTGGAGAAAATGATGGCTTGTAAAATAAAAATGAATTTTCATTGCTTTCTAAATAATTTACCCCTAGTGCTACAAATATGATTTTGTGAGCTTTGTCATGCAAAGTTAATAGCAGGCAGGGTTTGAAAGCTGTAATAATTATACATGTATTAATATAATTTAACATCATTACAAGTTTCCAAAATATTTACGCCAAACCATCATTTTCAACCAGTATTATTTAAAGTATTATGAAAATAAGATGAACATAGATTATATTAAACAAAATTGATTATATATAAGTACTAATATATAACTATCAATAAATATGTCTTTATCTAAAGCTCTGTTCAAAACCAAAATCTAGATTAAATCTTAAATTTACAACCTTCACTTTAAGAAAAATGAACATCGATTATTCATCGTCTTGATAAAAAAGAATTCATAGTTTATCAAGCAAATCATATTATAAATGCGGCTGTTGGAAAACACATTTTTATAACAAAATGTTTTAGCTACCATTAAACATTATTAAAGATTATTAAATGTATATACACAACTTTAATAAGTAAGTAGTTATTAAATCATGATTATGTAAAGTAGGCAATTCATATTCATGAAACAAACATGGGCAAAAGCACAGACTTTAAGATCTGCATAATTAACATTGTTAAAAAGAAGAAACGTTAAATATAATATAAAGGATGTATTAAACTTCTATATCTAATTTGAACTTTTATAACTATTATATTTTACTAAAACAAGCACTAACCTCTTTATATAGTGATTTAAAAATAAAAATAAATCATTGTAGCTTAAATAATGGTTCAATAGTTATTCAAGCTCAACTAAATTATATTTGTAAGAATCCCTATAAACATTACGTTAATATCACGAATTGTGGATTATCCTAGAAAAGTCCCCAAATACCTCATAGTCACATGAACCAAGGAAAACTTTTCTAAGGCATGGAATGATTATATATTTTATGGAATGTTATATCCTCTCAGAAACTTCAGAAACGATAATGTTTGAAGATTAGCAATTCGTGTAAAAGATATCTAACAAAGTTATATTCTAATTAAATCTAATTCAATAGGTAACGAAGATTTAAAATAAACGAATTTTATATATAAGTACATTAATGTCACAACCGTAATGGAGTGTCTTAGTAAACAGAAATGATAATGCTTAAGAACATTAATCATATAAAAATAGTATTTTTATTAGAAATTTTCTTATCACATAGGTAAATTGCTAACGTCTTACATTAAAGCTGTGCTTATAAAATTCATAACTTGTAAAAAAACTTCTACAAGATACAGCAACAGCGCTATACTAAATTTAAAGAAAATCGTCGAAGGTAAATTTATAATTTGTGAACTGATGCTGTCATGTTTTATTTATATCAACTTGTCACACTTAAAAATCTAAGGAAAAATTTAATTCATAATAATTTTTAATTACGTCACAGTCCTAATTAGCAAATATATGGAAAACATTTCATATTTTCATCCCAATATATTGTAGTCGGGTAAAACTCGAATTAAATTCGCGTTCATGTCGCATAAGAATAATCAAATCTGGTAAATCATAATGGCTAAAGTAAATAATAAAATAAATTTTAAGTTTAAACGTCATAGTACCTAATTCACTTACATGTTAGGGTAAAACTGTGTATAGGCAAGTGAGGACGGAGCCTGAGGCAAAGCCGGGTAAGGGCGTTTATGTAAGCCATGGGTGGACAAATCCCCCGTGAAGGCTTGCTCATACGATCGCTTCAATGGGGCGACGGGCGTTTGAGAAGCCATCTGAGGAGCAACTTGTGGCAAACCGGGGTGCCTTATCAAAGGCAATCTTTGTGGCACCAATACGTAAGGATTCGCGTGAAAACCTGCTTGAGGTAACAAATGACCATAACCCGGCATTGCAGTTGGAAGCAAACCTAAATTAGCAGCGCTGGGTTGCAGCCCTAATAACCCCGCAGCCGAAGGTGAACCCGCTGCATTTTGTTGAGCCATCGCAGCTGCGACGTTCATATTATGAGCGATTTGAGCAAAGAATAGTTGCTCGTTCTGAGCATTCTGCCTAGCCAACAAGCTCTGCTGCGCTATCATCTGAGCTTGCTGCTGGGCGTATAACGCGGGATTTTCCCATGACAAATTTATAGCCGGCGGCGGTATCAGTTTCTGAGCGTTCTGAGTAGGCGGAGGAATGGAAGTCATAGTGGAGGTTGGAGGAGCAAATGACATTATCGGCGGTGCTACTGAAAATGTATGCGCTAGTGATGTCATTGTCGAAGGCATTGACGACTGTGGTGGAGCTGTCGCAACAGCAGCTGGGAGAGACAAGGAACCGGGTATCAAACCGGCTGTTAATGGAGTAGGCATTGGAGGAGGTATATTTGTGGGAGGCAATGTTGAAATGTTGACACCAGCGGATGTACTATTCAGGGTGTTAGAAGATGCAGATAATAACATACCGGGTGACAGCAGACCACCTGCCTTCACTGGACTCGTTGGAGCAGGAAGACCGCCTGTCAGTACAAGGTTCATGTCTTCCCCACTGCATTGGAATACCTGGCAAAGCAAATACGAACAATTAAGGCATGAAAACACTAAAATATTTGATCTTGTATTTAATTACCTCAATATAACGCTGCTTTTTCCCAAACACCATATTCCTATGATGTTTCTGCTGAGCGCACATGAATGCAGATTGCTCTGAATCCATCTGAATAAATGCTTCTCCGCTAGGTTGACCCTTAATTTAATTAAGCAACACATATTTATTAACACAATACAGGCAGAAGCAATCAAAATAAATTTTACATACCTGGGCATTGTAGACCATATGAACTCCTTGGAACACAATATTCTTAGCGAAATCTTCTAGAAAATGTAGAATGTGTTCCACTTGGGCTTCGTAAGGTAGCCCGCGCAGTCTGATGCAGTCTTTCAGTGTTCCACTCGTTATCACATGCTAAATTTTATTCACATTAAATATTTGCTATAACAATAGCCTTGTCTATAGAACAATGCACATTGTTGAATATTTTCAACCGCAATATGGTATGAATAAAATAAGCATTTAATTTATGCGTAAGTTCAAATATCTATCGCATTTCTTAGTAATAATATATAAACGCATTGATTAAATTCATTGAAGACTTGCTGAAAGTATGTGAAATATCAGAAGTATGTAGAAATGGAACATTTTTATTTTACATTTACACTTTCGTCGCTTCGAGTTGCTCGAGAGCAACTTAAAATATATAACTTTTATGTATTATAATACCAAATTTCAAGGCTACTTCAAGATCTCAAATAACTATTTCTTTTATGAGATCTTCAAGTATTATAGTTAAAACGCCGTTAAAGCATCTAATAATTTTAAGTTATATTGATCTAATTTATCACATAAGAAATTGGTATGTAAATATGGAAAATACTCTGTTAATAACTGTACTCATATACCTGCAGTAAAATATACTTTAACTTTTTATCAACAAGCAGCAAATTTACCACTATCCAAACAATATTACATATACAATATACAATGTATTGTAATTTATATTAATCTTGTAATGGATTGCTAATTAATTTATATGGTAAAATCGTATCAAATTGATCACGTGTTTGTACTGATAAATCCATTAGTACAAATTTATTGAGCCTAGATAATTGATAAAATTTAACTCACCTGTGGTAAAAGTGGCACTTGAGGTAGCTGCGCTATTAGAGGTGGCGCAGGTGTTTCATATGTCTTTGGATCCATAGACCGATTTAAAACCTAAGATAAATTTTATGTTTATTATATTTATCATAATTGATAAACAGGATTTAATAATATAAATGTCATAATGGTTGCAAAATTCTGTATAATCTTACCACTCCTTGTCCTTGTATGCGTCCTAATGAAGCATGACAGAAAAATCAAATTTAATAAAACTACTTAAAAAATTAAAATTCATATGTAAATATAAATATGATTGGAGATGATAACTATGTATTGTTATTTTATTGCAGCTATGTTGTTTATAAAATGTTATTTTTAACTGTAGCAGATGAACTAAAATGAACCGAAATATCAAATAGGAAAGAGAAGGAATAGGGCCCAGTTAAAAAATAAATGTCGCTAGAAGAAAAAATATTCTATGAAAGGAAACGGTTTGTTTATAAACTTAAAACAAAATGTTTATAAATTCAAAACAATTTTTATAAACAAACCGTTTCCCTTCATAGAATATTTTTTCTCCTAGCGGCATCTATTTTTCAACTGGGCCCTATTCCTTCTCTTTCCTATTTGATATTTCGTGACTCATCTACTTGACCTTGATTGAGAATTCAGACTCCGACGATCGTTGATGGGGCAGTATAGCGAACGACTTGTAACGGATAACACATAATGCTAATTTAGGTTTCCATATTTTAGATTTTAAATTGTAACACACTGATGATGAGACAAACCTAGTCTCAAAACGTTTGTAAAATTATTATTTAATAAATTAGTCGAAAAAGAGTTTTGTTTGTTCATATTTCTAGATTAATATATATATATATATATATATATATATATATATATTATTATTATTATTATTATTACCTGTTGCACTTCAGCAGTCGTCGATCTGAATAACTCGATGTATCGTGCTCCAATTAATTCGCGATGTTTGGAGAGAGCTTTTGGAGCGTCACTTTCGTCGGCGAACAAAACGAAGGCATCACCAGTAGCCCTGCCGTCTGGTTTCTTCACGAACAAAACGCCCTCTGCACCGTCCAGGACCGTGCAAGGCTGCTCGCCGGCGGAGAAGAAATCCAACTTGAAAGGAAGAATATTTTATATCAAACCCCGCAAAACTAATTGTTAACTGTTGTATTATTTTTCTTTTTCACATTTGTTTTTACATATCATTTTGCATGTTACTATTGATCAGGTGATTGTGATAGACAAGTATACTCTACTGTATACATATTTATTGTGGCAGAATTGTGTGTTGAAGAGACAATCGTATACAACAATTACTATGGCATGAAACAAAACATTTTATAAAATTATAATTTCTATATTATTATTATTTTGAGGGTTACTCCTTACTAATAGAATATACTAATTGATTTAAGTCATCAATTTTCCTGATGAAGATTGAAATAACTTAGTTATAATTTATAAAATAATATTTAAGTTCATATTATTATCATTAAAATATTGTTAAAATTATTTATAACGAATGAAAAAAACTACTATTGAATTACTTTTCTAACATGTCATTATGTTATACAATGTCCCTATTACAAATTTACTAAATGCCCTTAACTGGGCAGTCGTGTAGTATAGTGAATAAAAAAAAAAAATTGTTATATATTATAATCACAAGGATAATTTTTCAAAGTGAGAATAATTATGATATTCGAATTGTTATTTACCTATATATGTATCAGAACAACGAGTACTTGTTTGCAACTTTTATATTTATAACTTACTAATGCTTTTTTCAATTGCCAATATATTGACCTTTGTGTTGGAAAATTGAAATTGACTAATTTCAATTTAATGACAAAGCAGTTTGTCAATAAAACTCGTAATTATCAATATCTGGATGATATGTAATTGTTCATTGTAATATTCAATGCAAATCACTGTAATCAGATTTATTGAAACTTGCATATATCATGTTTTTAAATTATTATTAGCACAAAACTTCTCAAAATACACTCATTATGTAAATGGTTTGGGAAACTTCTACAAATAAGAGTTATACTTTTATTAACATTATTAACGTATCTGTACTGTATGGATGTTTTCATTCTTTTTTTTATATAGTCGAAGTTTTGATTGAATTAATTAAATTCATGGTTTGAAAATATTCTACAAATATTTGAATAGAATTTGATTAATGTACTTTGAAAATTTAGTGGCTTTATATGGTGTTTCCAACCTGTGGGGTATGCCCCCACAAAATTTTTTTAACTTATATAAAAAAATTAATGAAAAAATATTTATTTTTATGCATATTTTCACATAATATAGCATAATAATTTGTAGAAATTGTTGAAAAAACAAGGGGGGAGGGGAATGCAACAATATTTTTTACTAGATCACGGTGTCCAAAAGAGTGGAAACCACTGGCATATGCAGTTAGAGACCACAAATTGAGGTTGGTGCTTCTAAATGTCAGTAAGCACAAAAACTTCTCAAAAATGAAACTTGATCATTTATAAAAAATAATTATATAAAACAGCCATGAAATTCTAAACTAGTAAACATAACAAATATGCTTTAAAATTATACATATTTGTTACAATTTCTAGGTATGAATATGTTTTACAGAAATGAAAATGATGATTTTTACACCTATCAAAACTATCAAAATTTATTTGCATTTTTTAATATAATTAAATTTTATTAAACTTACCACTTGAGTTGCGGTGCAATCATAAGGCAACCCTCGCATCCGAACGATAACTTGCGCCCCGCGCGATAGAAAAGCTTGTGCTTCATTGCTCGCTCCTCCGGCAACAGCTAAGAAGTCTTCACCAGTCGCCCTGTATACCTGAAGAGTAATAAAACTTAAATTAATATTTGAAACAAATCTTTAGCATTGTAAAATATATTGCAAATCGATCCCATATTTATACTTGTTTAGAATTTTTCAACCGCAATTTCATAAGACAATTTTTTTTATCAAGCAAAGTACTCGTTGATTCAAAAATTTTCTCTTGTACATGAAGAAATAAGATAAACATTTCTCAAGTTGTATTTATTATAAAACGATATATTTATTTTTGATTTTAATCACAATATTAATTCGTTGCATTAATGCTCTGAAATGACATTTTTACTAATATTCAGCTTCAGATTTCACTACTACTCGATATCATAATGTTTGAGATGGGAATTGAATCAGGAATCTTTTGGTTGCAAGGCCAAAGCTCTTACACCAGAGTCACGGACAGTCTCAGAATTATTTTTAACGTAGTTTACAAAAATGATCACTTGCATAAGAATAACAACCATGTTAGATCACCATACATAAACCATAATATATGTAATAATAAAATAAATAACATAATAATTATGATCGTGTTTGTAAACATAGATTTGCTTATATATAGTATTTGCGTAATTATTAAATTAGCAATAATAAGTCGTAATATGATGAATACTTGATAAATTTGAAAATAGCTGTAGTTAATTAAATAAAAGTAAATATAATTAAAAACTAATTCGTAATCAAAAACAAAATTTATACTTGTGGCGAGCATAGCTCACTTGGTAGCATGTTCGATTCACACGACAGGGATCTTCGGATCAAATCCTGTCCTAAGTCAATTGACTTAGAATATAGGAAAAAAAATATGTATAGTTAATTTGAAATCAAATAAAAATTGTGAAAAATAGGAATAACAGAGTTCGAATTGTATTAGGAGTAAGAAGTGAAATATTGGAACTGAGCTGAAATTAAAAGAAGAATGAAGAAAAAAATAGAATGAAGCTAGAATATAGAATAGGATACATATATAGATTCAAAATTATATAAAAATTAGAATGTAAATAAATAAAATATGTTGTAGGTGGCTAAATGCTCAGAGTAAGCGAAGCCAAATAAAATTTAAAAAAAAAATTATACTTCAATCTTAAAGTACGTGATTGCATAAGAAAAATTATACAGAAAGAGTATATCACAAGCTTTATAAAATTTTGATTAATTACTTTGGTTGTAAATCAAATTAAAACCATTGAATAATTCAATAGATAAAAGTTTTGAAACCACTATAAAAAAAAATCATAATATATTTCATACATAAATTGTAAATTGAAAAACAAACTGTTTTGTAACTAGTTCTTCTGAACCATTAATTAAAATAAATTTAAGATCCTGAAGTGATTCAAATCAACAATAATCAATCAATTTAGGATTAAAGATTATTAACTCAAATAGCTTTACTCAAAAAAAAAATAATTAAAATAATTGTAAAAATAAAATTATCTGAATATTTTCCTGAAGTAATCCGAAGAAACAGAATTTATCCATTATTATTGTCAATTACTATTATTAATATTAATTTAGGATACTCTGCATGATAGATTAATAGTTATATTATTAAATTGAAAGCATTCACTTGTATATAAAAAAGCATGTATATAAAGTAAAATTTCAACAATACATATTTAAAAAAGTATATAACTAAACTCTCGAAGTAAATCTTACGAGGTAAATATTTCTTTTGAATCAGTCTTACAGTTCTAATGTTGAAACATTTAAACAAATATTAGTCTCGTGGAAAATACACTTATCAAAAAATAAATATTTAATAAAAATTTACCGAATCTAAATCAAAACAACTCAGATCGACCGAAAAATAAAATATGATAACGTTATTTTTCAATGTTGAAATCATATTTATATAAATTATGTTTTAACTTTTAGTTTGTAATAGAAACAAAAGTATAATTATCAACAATAAAAATATTTTATATTTGAATAAACATTTAACGACATCAATAAATATTGAAATTTTTACTTCAAGTAAAATATTATACAATAAAAATTTAATTACCATTACATAATGTTGTATAAACTTATCTCAAGTGCGTGCAAAATATTGAATTTCTTCTAAGCATGTCATAAACATAAATGGCACTTAACTAGAAAGAATCTTACATAAGAAAATTTTGCAAAAATTTAAATAATAATTTGCAAAAATATTCACTTGTGAGAGAATGCATAAATATTGTTGCAAGAAATGTAAGTGCGCAAAATTGTAATTGAATTTATTTGTAAGTTATAATAATTTTAGGATTTTAAGATTTAAATCAGGAAGGTAAATCATCATTTTTACAAAAATGTGAATGAAAGGTTGAGTCCACATGTTTGTAGAAATACTCTGCAGATATAGGAAAGCAATTCCATAAATAAATAGATGTAAATTTTGATAATTTATAAATAAAAATTGATGTATTTACTATTATTTTATAAGTACTCTTATAGCAACTCTTAAAAATGCATGATAAAATTATCAATTTCTCAAGAAAACAGTTTTATTATCGATATCAAAGAATGCTATCACGATAATACGAATTTGTTTTTTTTATTTATTTATTTATGACAATCAGAAAAATACAACAGTTTTCTATAAGTCATTGTGATGAATTATAATGTCAAGTAAGAATCTTCTCCATTGAGAAGATCCCCTAGTAGATAATTAACTAAAGCTATAATTTATTTTAAGTGATTAGGTCTTCGGGATAATACGAATTTGTATGTTGAAATTCGTTATATTTCCATGTTGGAAAAATATTAATAAAAATATGATTTTTGTTATTGTTTAGTTTAAATCTTCTCATTTAGTTTATTATTTATATATTAGCTCATCCGTAATTATTTATATTTCATAAAGCATTTATAAATGTTTCTCAATGATTATAAACAAATGCCAAGAAATAAATTAATTTATGATATTAGGGTTAGAGCAGCATATAGTGAAATATTAATTATATTTAATATTTTTACAAAACTTTTATTATATATTATTTTATTTAATATTGTTTCATTTATTAGTTTTATACTTTTCTTTTATCAGTTTATACAACTGATAAAAATAATTAAATGATTGAAAAAAAAATATTTATAGTAACCAAAGTACTTTGCATTAATAATATATTTTAAATCAGAGGCAAAATGTAAATGAATATTTCTTTTATAAGTGTGTCCAAGAAGATTATCAGAGAAACAAATTTTGGTCAATAATATGTGTTTTTTTTTTTAAATAGAGGATACGTATTTTAAAACTATCAATTTCAATGACGTTAGAGGTGGATAAATTATCTCAACAAATTGTAACACTCAAGCCCTGTTCGAAAAATCTAAAATCTTGACTACTAATGCTACCCTGAAAAATGCTTGCCTAATAAAAGTTATATAATCATTAGTTCATGGTGGTATTTGCTTAATAAAGCAAAATCTTTCAGACTACTTTATTCCTTAAAAATAATCTCAATTTGCTTGATTATTTGCAAAACCTTAGGAGTGAATTTTATAATAAAAATCATTTTTAAAAACAATTTTTATCTAGTTAATTATAAATTTTCACAATTAATAAAAGTAAAATTAATAAAATATATCAATCCCTTATTAATTACCTATACATTTTCTAGTTAATTAGTTAGAATCCGGTACCCTAAAAAATCTTACCTAATAAAAGTTAGATAACCATTCATTCATGGCAGTATTTGCTTTATACAACGCACATGTTACTTTATTTCTTAAAAATAACATATTTCTTGACAAATTGCAGGACCATAAATGTGATTCATCCAACCATGTATAGTGTAATAAGTTTTCAAAAACAATCAATTCCTAATTACATAAGTTTTTATTACCAACCAACTAAAACTCACCCTTTGTTTCAATTTAAAAACCATTTTATACACTCACTAACAATAAGTCATTTTATCAAAACAACACAGACCAAATACAACAAAATTATCAAATTATTATCCTTTACAAAAATGTGCAAAATATAATAATCCAACCACTTGATTTCACTGTATCATTTTTACGACTGATTTTTCCAAGAAATATTATTCGTTCGAACAAAAAGTGCCCGAGAATCCGACTGAGAGTCGAAGAGAATCGTTCGGAATATATGCGTAATCAGCTGAGCACATATTTCATAGTTCACAGGTCAAATGTGGAGCCCGTCGGACGCTCCTTTATCTTTTATACAAATTTCGTAAACCTTCCGTTTCGAATCGAATCAAAATAATCGAAAATTATCGAAGATAACAAAGGGTAAACAATAGAGGGCACCCGAATTTTGAGGATTCGTCATTTGTGTGACGTAATTAAAAACAAATATTTTGGATATCCTGGAAATTGGTCAATAATCGCATTTGAAGTTGTTACCACAAGATAGGGCAAAGATGGTACTAGATTCATAGACAATGACATCGCTTTTTAATAAAATTAATGAGTAAAATAATTGTTGAAAATGAAAATGCAATTTTTCAAACACTATGAGAGTGAGCCTATATAAATCCGTAAAGATAAAAAACATCGGTTGATCCAAACCACTGGCTATTATTAAAAATGTACATGATCACTAAAGATGTTTGGCTGATAGGATAAAGATCCTACAAGGTGCAGCTGGATAAAAAGGGTTTTTTATAACTAATACTTACTATGACTTAATCCATAGCCAATGATACCATTTTTACTGGAATTAATTGAGTTAAATCATTGTTAAAAATATCAATGCAATTTTAAAAACGCTTAGACTGCTAGTTTGAATCGTTTAAAAATGAAATATCTATTAATAATATAATCGAAAGCTATGGTAGCATTAAAAGAGTTCATAATCACTAAACTAATTTGGTGCAAGTGTTCCGCAAAAATAAAATATCGAACTGAACTTCTGATTTTATAATGTAAGACTAAAAATGTCAGCAAATACTTTGAGTATAGTTAATTAGCCATAATTGGATTGGACAACTGAATGGGTTGCCATCCATTCAAAAATCCATAAAGTCAAAACAATTACTGAATGTCCTAAGTGTGACCGATTGTAATTGAAAATGTTAAAAAAAAATAATAATAATGTAAGATATTCAAAATGCATTTTTACCATAAACAGAATAATAGTTCTGGTACTAGTTTGATAATATATTTCTGGTACTAGTTTGATGAACTATTATGCAACATCGTAAACTGGGTAAAATGTAATAACATCATTAAGGGACCGATTCTGCAGCATAACAGAAAAATGTTATGGCAAGGCCATATTACGTTCCAATACACTTCCATACATTATGCACTGAACCATACTGAATACTGTCAAAATGTCATGTATTTCCTGTTCATTCACACGTTTTACACATAAACTGCAACGGTACTCGTATGTTATGAACCTGAGTCAGAAACATACTGTCATCGACGATCGTTTTCTTTTTAGATTATGTTTACTATATGATAACCTGAGAAATATGCCTGACTGCACACCAACCACATGGCTTTATCAATATTTAGTATGGAAAGTTCTTCATAACATGGTCTTGCCATAACATTTTTCTGTTATGCGGCAGAATCGGTCCCTAAATCTAATATACGTATGGGAATAGTCGAAAGAATTTGTATTTGTAGTCATTTCTCTTCCTACAGTTTTACTTGCTGTCCATTTCAGGACAAGTGTAAAAATTACTATATATTAAAAAATTAAATTTAATATAATATAAATGAGATTTTAATTGTTAAATCATAAAATCTTCAACGAGATATCAGTTTTGAATAAATTAAGTATAAAAATTATAGTTTAGTTATAAAATGAATTAAATTACTTGTTTCGAATTAAATTTAGGAAATAATTATAATTTGTATATCTCTCCAAAACCATTACTACTGAAGTTTTATTGTAAAATTTCAAGTAATCAAATATGTTTGACGTAATTTTTTTTACTATACTATTTTACATCGAGTTTTGCTCGAGTATATAGTAGCCAACTACTTTATTTTTAATTTAATATTGATAAAAATAGATTGAAATATCAAGATTTCAATTAAAAAATTTTATATCACTACTGCATGACAGAAATTTCACAACATAATTCGAATCAATAATCCTAATAATGAAATAATCAAATATGGATGGATCAACCGTTGGTATTAAAAAAAATCATGTAAGGAGAAGTTTCAGCCCAACATATCGTTGTTAAATGTGTAATAAAAAAAATTGAACCATTTACCTTGGGGATGCTCAAATTCATACATTCTTATAGCTATTTATTTCAAAACCAGAAAATTCAACAAACAAACTTTTGTTCAGTGTGATAATATTTGAAATTGGGATGATGACGACATTTGTCTAATTCGTGTACTTTGTGTGCAAGTACAGGATCAATAAAATTCACCTTATATTTGTACGCCAATATAGGAATAATCACAAAATATTCTAGTAATATTAATATCTCAAAAATTTCCCTCCCAACTAATTTTATAACATCGTTGACAAAAAAAATATGGCGCGATATATGTATATGAAATCTAATAAAATAAAATTGTAAAGTTAACTTATAAAGGTATATGACTAATGTACGTGTATACAAAGTCAAAAAATAAACATTAAAAAAAATTAAATCTCAAAATCTTACCTCAATATATCTGGAGCCGATGTGATGCTTATGCCTTTTGAGTGCCATGTCTCTGTGTTCCTGCGACTCGAATCGCACCAGGGCCTCGCCGTTCCGTCTTCCTTGAGCCGACAAACACAAGGCCACGCCGCCTCTGAAAGAACCATACAAAAACATTATACATTTGCTGTTTAGACATGTATATATTTTTAACTTTTCTTTAATCGAATTAATTTATTATTTTAATGTAATTTATCATATGCCATTTGTAATTTTAACATATGTATATGAATTTGATCAACTTAAGGGTTCTATAAGCTTGTGATGTTAAGCAGTAAGACTATTGAAATAATGAAATGTAATTTTTTTATAATAGTTACCCTTTAAATCTTATTTAAAAGAAAAATAAAGAAATATTATAAGGAAATTGAAGATTGAATAGATATTTTAATTATAATAAATATTTTCTTGTAGTATAATGAAATAGACAAATGATATGCATATATAAAATAAGAAAATTGTTTCATAATCTTTCATACCAGATACCCCTGTCTGACTAAAATATGAAAATAATATATAAATAAATAAATAAAGAAAAAAAACTATTTAAAAATAATAATAATAATCAGATAAATTAATCAAATGAAGATTAATGTTATCATTATAATCACATGTAATTATTAATAGATTCAAATAAATATTATTTTATTATTGTAAGGCAAATAAATTGTAGTGATAAGAAAATTATTCAAGTGCATTCGAATTGCACACATATTGTTATCTTAAAAAACATTTTACTGATTGCAAGTGCAGTAGAAAATTATTGTAAAAAAAATATTTATCACTAAACTCAAGTTTTTTGTCTCAAGTGATATAGAAATCAGTGAATTATATATAAGGATATCGATTGTTTGATTAAAATGTTTACAATATATGATTATAAAAGGACAATCATTAATCGTAGTTGTAGTTCTATATGTTAATGTGATCTGCCCACATGGTTTTAAATTGTTTTGGATTTTTGGAATTGTTTTTTGTTGCTGGAAGTGTTTTATTAAATTTTGGCTAGTTTAACTTGAAATGGAGCATCCGATTTAAATGATTCAAAAAATATTTGACGGATTAAGTTGGCATCCAATAAAAAATATTAATTATCAAAACTATAATATTTGGGTAAACCTTCTAATAAAAAATTGTATCCAAACAATTATAGTTAAACCAGCTACTCGACTTTTAGTAAAAAATATATCAAAGCTAGAATAAGACTACCATTATGTTGCCATCAAATAAAAAAAGTATATAGAAATTAGGGTAGGACATTTACCTTTCAATAAAAAAGGAACCAAAACACTTTGATATCATAACTATTTGCCTGCTTTGTAATAACAAAATATATCAGAACTGGAATAGCACAATCATTATTATATTGTCTTAAATACAAAAATTTAAGCTTTATCAAAGAATAATTGTAACAAATTAAATAATGCCAAATTTCTAATAAACTTTACATATTTTCTGTATTTGTTTCTGAATAAAGTGTCTTGTTAATAGTCCAAAGGTTTAATCATAAAATAAAAGTTGGCTTTTCAAAAGTCCAATGATTTTAACTAAAATTAAATTTGTTAAATCTAAATAAATATGTAGAAATTTTGATTTAAAAAGACATACTGTTGAGCTATACAATAAATAACTGATTTTTCTACGACGTTAAAACATATTGCAAACACATGGTCAAAGTTTTTCTATTATTTCTTTCTACATAATGCCATAAAAATATCGAATGTTTTTTTATAGCAGTAACAGAATGGAATGGTTTCTACGTAAAAAAGGTTTACATGTGACGATAATAAATTTATTTTTACTCAATTATTTTCTAATTTCTGACAAGGAATTATTTTCACCAAAGAGGACATCTAAAAAAAATTCAATATAAAATATTATTTTATTTTTAATAGTTTATTTAAAAATGAAAATATTCAAAATGGCTTAACCTTTCATTTCATAAAAATCTATGTTTATTGATAACCGATCAGAGATAATAATTTAAAAAAATAAAGCTTCATAATTCTGATTTTCATTTCCTTACAATTTATTCTATTCTGGTGAAATGTGGCCCATAAGCTAAAATCTTTGATACCATTGCTAAAGTGCATTATGTATGTCTCCATGCATAAATTTTTATGAACATGTATAATGATTATTGTAAATAATTAGTGCTATTGTTTCGCATTATTAATTCGGACAAATACAGATGTTTTTGCGACACATTTTGCAATTAAATAAATAGTCTAAGAACGATAACAGATGTACATAAACAAACATACAAAATCAAATAAAAAGATACTTATAAAAAAAATTAGTGAATACTTTTTCCATAAAAAATAAGGTATACAGGAATAATCAGAAGTTAAAAGAACAGGCTTCCTGGACATCCTACAAACTTAAATAAAAGTAAAATGTTGAACCGAATTCTTAACAAAGGAATTTAACAGAAAGACCTACATTATATCAACTAATAAATGAAAATCCATTTCATCTATTTTATATTTCAACTGCATTTTTTAGACGAATTTACTTTGAGATTTACTTTGTTGTACTTTATGGACAATTGGTTTAATGTCTCATGTAGGTAGATAATCAATTATAATAAGTTAGAAAAATTATTAATTAATTAACTTATATTATTTATGAACTTATGAATTAATTAACTTACTTGATAATATTTAAACCAATGAAAAATTTTGCAATATCTCTATCAGAACTTTGCCATGGAAGTCCTCTAGCACGAACTATACAGCAACCATCAATTTCATCGTCTTTTGAACTGTAACAAAAAAAAATAGAATAAATATGAGTAATATAATAAATAAATAAATAAATAAATAAATAAGTACCACTGCTAAATTATCAATCTCAATTTTACACATTTCAGTTTTATTTAATACATTTCATACAATACGTTAGATATCAGTAGATGTTGAATAAGAAATAAAAATTCAATGCATTATTGAACATGATTTTTACCAGCATCCATGTTACCGATTAGAAGACAAATGTTTTATTCCACAAACAATGCCCATTCAAAAAGATGTTTCATTGATATCATTGATATCATTGTGATCAATAATTTGCTTTCACACATCACACAATCTGTTTACATCTTTTCAAATCAAATTTTCAAACAAAATCCGATACAAATGTAGTACTATATGACTCACAAATACAATACAATAGTAATAGCTTAGTAAGAAAGTTATTAGAACAGATTTATAGAAAAAAAATTATAAAAATTTTAGAAACCGATTATAAGTCTACTGTAAGTAAAAATCTATTATTCCACTTTATAAGTATATATTTTACATTTGTTTCCTTTTTTGAACTATCGCTGTAAAAAACAGCATTTGGACTTAATGAGTCCAATAATTCATTTGTCGTGTCCTTTAGGTGGATGATGAAACAAAATAACTAGGTCTAAGTGGTATTTTGCAATAAGACAAGTCCAATGTGTGAATAATCCACTCAAAATTCAATATATTAATTTGAGTGATTTACAAGTTCATCGAGCTGGTGCAATCATTGCAATTATGTATAAATTTGCTAAGTATGCTGTAATATTTCAAATATTATAAATTATTGAAGAAAAACAAACACTTGGTTAATACATACTCGGTGTATGTCCCAAAAGCGTGGTTCAAATTTCCAACCTTTAATATAGAAGTATTTTTTATGATTAACCTGCTTTTTGTCTATAATACTTTAAGATATTAGTTTAGTAGACCATGAACTATCGTCATGTAAAGTCAATAATAAATTGTTTTTTTTGTTTAATTAAAATTAAATTAGCGCAGTTTTCCTATCTGATACCTCTCGGATCATCTCAGATAGTTCTTGAATTTTCCAAATCCGTTCAGGATTTTTACTCATGAAAAATCTTGAAAAAGCGGTCAAAAGCAAATCCTTATTGAGAAAAATTGCGACTCAGTTCGTTATTGATGAATTCCAATATATATTCAATGGAAATATTCTTTGTAAATGCCGTCATTTACATGAAAAATCTTAGAAAAGTGGTCAAAAGCAAATCCTTATTGAGAAAAATTGCGACTCATTTCGTTATTGACGAATTCCTATATATATTCAATGGAAATACTCTTTGTAAATGGCGTCATTTTAAACCATTTTGAGGGATAGTATAATGTTATTCCTAGAATAAATGTATACAATTTAAATCAATGTATCAATGTATGTATTTAATTTAATTAAAAAATTAATTTCAACGAGTAAAGAAAACCTACATAGGCCGCCTGCGTCGCTATCATTTTTTTTAATTACTATATTTGTTACAACTGCTAAATAATTAACATCTAGTAACAGTAATGAATAATTATATAAATTTAATAAAAAGAGCACAAAATAAAGGATAGAATGAGAGTGTAAATGAAAATATATTTTTATACAAAATTACATAATTTACATAACATTATATTATTATAAGTTTTCTCGACGCTTCAAGTCATTCTGAATCGAATGAGACCAAATTTGGAAAAACTGTAATACATGTATGTGTATGTAGATGACCTTTCGCCGACGTTTTCTCAAAAACAGATTTAAAATATTTAAAGCCACTCGATGAAATTTAATAAGCACTCGCAACGGTTAGTTTTTTGAGCCGTTTCTTTAGAATTAGCAGAAAACTGCAAAATTACCGTCCACGTTTTAACAAAAAAAAATCTGAACCGATTTTGGAAATTCAAAAACTATTCTAAATGTATCTTTTGGGAATCGTGCTGATAAGTTTTTGACAAAGATTCGGCCAAAATAAAAACTAGTGGTAAATGGCATCGTGCTTTAAGGTACGTTGCTGGAACTTACTAGACCAAAAATTGTAATTTTAAAAAACTCGATTGATTTTAACTCTTTTTCAAAGCAATCGCGTTGCGTAGCTGTTTTAGAGGCAAAATTGCGAAGCGTGTAGCAGCGCATCGTATAAATATAAATATGAACAAAATTTGTACATTATAATCTCTATGAAATATCTAATAATTTGATGTGCACGTGTCTAATGACCATATTTGACCACCAAATGGCTTTTTTTTACTTTTTTCGTTGGATCTCCGAAACAGTTCTTCATTTCGTTAATAGAAATAAAATGTTTATTGAATCATTCAAATCGGACACTCCGTTATCTCAACAACTGAATTAACATTTTTGGCACTTTTTGTCCCGTATCTTCGAAACGGCTGGACCTGCCTTTGCCAACAACTAATCACTAAGTCTGTCCATCAATACAAATCAAATGTTTTTTGGATTATTCAAATCCGTTGATCCGTGTACACAAAATTATCGAGAAAAAATTGTATCCGCACATACACAAACAGGCATACACACATGCACATGCATAGACTTTTTCGAAGGTGTGCCAAAATGTTCAGAAACCTTTAAAACGTAAAGATATATAAGAATCTTCATTTTAGATTTTTTTGCGATTAATCTAACTTACCCTACGGAAAGTTAGAAAAATGTTTTCACGATTTTAATGAAACTTGGTATGGCGATAGAGTACCTGGCCTTGATGAACATACTAAAATATTATAGTCCTACGAAAAGTAGTTTAATTATAAAAATTGATGAAAATTTGAAATGTTCGGCGGCGCTTTTTGAAAGGTTGTTTATGTATGTATTAGAGACACGTGTTCGTTTTTTCAGAAAGAAACATTTGTAAGAAACAAAATTGTACAAAATGTACAAAACTGAATAACCTGCATTGGTTTCTCACAAAATAATGCTTTACACCAACTTTGTGTACTTAAAAATCGCTCATAAATTGATAAATTCTTTACGTTTCAGAGGTTTCTGAACATTTTGGCATACCTTAGAAAAAATGGTTGTATGTATGTGTGTGTGTGCGGATACAAATTTTCCTCGACGATTTCGGAAACATCGATCAACCGATGTGAATAATTAAAAAAACATTCGATTCGTATTGATAAGGAGACGTGCTGATTAGTTTTTGGCGAAGGCAGGTCTAGCCGTTCCGAAGATACGAGGCAAAAAGTGCCAAAAACGGTAACTCAGTTTTTAAGAGAACGGAGCTTCCGACTTTAATAATTCAGAAAACAATTAACTTGTATTGACAAGATGAAAAACTAATCAAATTTTCATAAAGGCAGGTCTAGCAGTTTCGGAGATCTAGAAAAAAATGTAAACAAAAATGCCATCTGGCGGTCAAAAATGAACATTAGACATAAGCACATCAAATTATCAGATATTTTTTAGAGATTTTAACAATAAGTATAAATTTTGTTCACATACCTATGGGTTCCGTTCCGAAAGTACGGGGAAAAAAGTGCCAAAAACAATAACTCAGTTTTTAAGAGAACGGAGCGTCCGATTTTAATAATTCAAACAAAACACATTTTAATTGTATTGACAAGATAAAGAGCTGATTAAATTTTTGGGAAGGCAGGTCTAGCGGTTATGGACTCTCAATAAAAATAAGTTTAAAAAATGTCATTAAGGTCAAAAATGTTTATAGGACATATGTACATCAAATTATCAGATATTTTTTAGAGATTTTAATAATGTGTACACATTTTGTGTAGATTTTTTTGGGTTTCGTACCAAGATTTTCAATAACGTGAAGTTGCAGCAATTTGCCTTAAGGCACGATGCCATGCTTGCCACTAGTTATTTCATAGAACAAAGGTAAAAACATGTCTACAGTACAAATACACTCTGACGTATCTAATTACTATAAACACATGGTCTACACACTACTTTCATCTTACGATTAATAAATATTTAAAATTCGTGCAAAATTATAAACATACCGTTGCGTTATCAACTTCAATAAGTCACTGAATCGATCTCCATAGAATACTTCCTAACACAAAACACTATTGATACTGAAACATTCCAACACTTCGTATTTCATAGATGCCGCAAACACAATTGCATGTATTATCGCAAAAATACGACACTAGAAAATTATCCTATTCGGAATTTTCAGTCATTTACTAACTAATAATTTAACACGTTCTCTGCACAAGTAGAGATGGGAATTTATAAACATAAATGTCAAACGACACCTTTGTGAGAATAATATACTGGACTGAAGTACGAGCCGAACTCTAAACAAGCTGACGCTGGACTGAACACTGAACTGAAATCGAGGAGCCGAATGCGACGTCACGAGAGCGCCTGTTGCTTCGGAGCAGCGGCGATTGAAGGCGACAACCGCCGACAGGGGCGGTACGGGATAATAATGATACATATAAATCTATACTATACTATTTATATATATTATTATATAATATATATATATATATATATATATATATATATATATTATATCGCAAACTAAGGCAAATTGCTGGAACTTCCCATGCCGTTAGGGGCCGTTCAAGTGTTACGTAAGCACTATAGGGGGGCAGGGGGGTTGTTGATTTGCTTATTTTGGGTTGACATGGGTGGCAGGGGAGTCTGGATGATGATTACGACATATATAGTATTTTTATTTTTTTATATTAATTGCAAAATGTTTACGTAAGCATGGGGGTAGGCGGTAAAAGCTTTGCTTACTTTTGCTGACAAGGGAGATGGGGGGTAAATAATTGTAATAAATCTGCTTACGTAATACTTGAACGATCCTTTATTAAAAATCTTGGTACGGAACCCAAACAAAAACTACACAAAATGTGTACACATTATTAAAATCTCTACAAAATATCTAATTATTTGAGTACATATGTCCAATAAACATTTTTGACCGCCAAATAACATGCTTTTAACTTATTTTTATTAAGAGTCCATAACCGCTGGACCAGTCTACCCAAAAATTGAATCAGTTCTTCATCTTGTCAATACAAGTAAAATGTTGTTTGAATTATTGAAATCAAACGCTCCGTTCTCTTAAAAACTGAGTTACCGCTTTTGGCACTTTTTGCTTCGTATCTTCGGAACGGCTAGACCTGCCTTCGCCAAAAACTAATCAGCACGTCTCCTTATCAATATGAATTGAATGTTCTTTTAATTATTCAAATCGGTTGATCGGTGTTCCCGAAATCGTCGACAAAAATTTGTATCCGCACACACACGCACAAACATACACACGCACACACACATACATCCATTTTTTCCAAGGTAAGCCAAATGTTTAAAATCCTTTGAAACGTAAAGAATATAAAAATCTTCATTTTCGGTTTTTTTGCGATTACTATAAAGATTCAGAAATTTTAAATTGATAACTAGTTGTGCATGGCATCGTGTCTTAAGGCAATTGCAGGAACTTCCCGTACTGTAATGTAGCATTTTAAGTATTTTATTTAAATTTTGAAATAAATCTTTTTTTTTCTCCAAGATTTGATATTATGTGATGTGATATTATATATGTGATATTTTATATGTCTAATGATCACTTTTAACGCCAAATGGCATGTTTTCAAACTTTTTCTATGTGATCTCCAAAACCCAGGACCTGCCTCCTCAAAAAATTTAATATATTCTTGTTGCTTCAATACAACTGAAATGCTTTTTGAATAATTTAAATCGGACGCACATTCTCTCAAAAACAGAATTGCCATTAAAGCAAATTGCACTTTTTGCCCAAAATCTTTAAAATGGCTGGACTTGCGTTATAAGTAGCAATATCATATCACTTTCATACAACTTCTGGTTTTTATTATTATTATTTTTTTTTTTAATTCAATCAATCTGACATATGATGGTATCATTGTATTGTTTACCATTCAAGGAGTTTTGTAAAGATCGAAACAAATAGCAATCAGAAGATCAAGAATGTATGGTGGTAAAATATTTCCACCAAGTTCCAATAATTTTTGTCAAGTGGTCAAGGATATGTGATGTCAATATTGGAATAAAATGTTGTCTAAATTCGTTAGTTATTCAATTTAGACCTCAAAATTGGTTCTTCGGTTGGATGGTAAAAGTAAAAGTAGACAATTCTTCAATTGGACGATCACAGCCTTTTGCATCTTTGAGAAAAAAATCACCAGAATGAAATTGGGGAAACAAATCTTGACACCTCCGTTTTTAAGGCTTCGTTACCAAGAACAGTTCATAACTTTTTGTGTGCTTAAGATGCCTTTTTACCTCAGCATAAATAAAAAAAGCAAAATGATAAAAATTTGATTTTCGAATCAAAATCGATCAAAAAACTTGTTTTTACTGATGGATACCTAAATTGCGTTCCACTTCCACTTACAAAAAGTATGTACTTTTGGAATACATCAGTAAACCTAAAAACTCAATTAAGACCATCGCACTGAGTTAGTTGCCAATCTAATATATTAACAGCGTCTAATAATTATAACAGACCCTTAGTATAAAAGCTGGTGTTATTTTATAATTTATTCATATATGCTTTAAAAAATAATTTCCTTATATAAGTAAATAACATAAAAATCAGCACCCGCCACTGAACTTAAGATAAGGAGAAACCTTATGTGCTACAGTAAATATTACACTATGAAACATGCTTTCAAGTTAGCAATTTATTTGCAAAAATTACCTTAAAATATATAAAAAATTTAATCATGAATCAATTTATTAATATGTATCTATTAATTTATTATTTTTATAAAATATAATATTGAATAGATGGATTTGATTGACTGTAAAGTACCATCCTTCTCCGAGCCTACTCGCGACTTTTATCGTTTGCAGATAAGAGTACGTATTTAAATTCACAATCGTAGTGATTTATATATATATATATATATATATATATATATATATATATATATATTCATATATTGAGAAAAACAGTATGAATTTTATTTTTATCAATTTATTTCCTATTTGTTGCAGCAATTGCTTACGTTGTCCAATGCTAATAATAGCATATAAAGTTTATAATTAAAAACGACCATTACGTTAAATTGTAGCATTGTTTATGTAGTAATACTTAAACTTGTAGTAACTTAAATTTATAAATAAATATATAAAAATAATTTATTCCTCATAAAAACGCATTTTTCATATGTATGTGCAAACATTTATTAATCTTTCACATATTTTAAATGTTTAATATTGTTAGAACAAATGCTGCATAAAATTGAGATTATTTTTAGAATCCAATAATACTTTATTTAGATATTATATTAAATTAACACTATGCAATCAACCGAATGCAATCGTCAGAAATAAAAATATTTTTTTATTTTTGTTTATTTGCGAAAAGTCCCGTAGTCACTAATTAGCTTAGGCAAGCTTCATACTTGATGTGGATGCTAAAGCATTTATTGTATATAACTATTACAATATGATAATCTGAGTATATAAACGGTGTTTAATCAAATTTCATTAATTAATTAACTGTCAATTTTTGTACCTTGCTGAAACTTCTACAGTCTAAGTAATCTCGTTACTAAAAAAAATTTTAATATGCTTATTTAATGAATATTTCGCTGTGTGAATAAGTTAAAAATATTGAGCTAAATTATCGTAATTTCGAAGTATAATTACAAATTGAATTTTATTTAATTGCTCTAATAATTAAAATCATATAAGACAAGTAATAAAATCTCACTCCCATCGTTTCGTGTTAACAAACTCTTGAAGATTTTTAAGAGTAAGCACTTGAAATGTGATACGGTATTAATTTAATGATATTGATTAATTAATGATATTTTATGATATATATATATATTATAGATAGATATATATATATATATATATATATATATATATGTGCACTGTATAGAATCTATTCAATTCACCCGTTAAGTTAATAAGTAATTAATATATAGAATAAGCATTCATTGTATTCCTTTCACCTTTTGAACTTTTATTAAGTAATGTAAATCAAGAGCAATCATTCAAATCAATAATCAATTGATGATTCAATAAATTAATATTAATCAAATCAATCGATAATACCAATTACCATATTATAACTCGATAGAAAGAATCATGTTTACTATACAGGGGAAAGTCCCGTAACGCGGACGGCACCAAGCACCGGACACTATTTAACACGCATTATTTAGCGAGTATATAAATCTTTTCATTTCAAAATACAAGTGAAAGGGGGGGATATAGTTACAAATACTAAATATATAATTACTAAATAATATTTTTTTCTAGTAATTTATTAAATTACCTTAAAGGTAATTGAATTACCTTAAAAGGTATTTAAATTTTTAAATTACCTTAAAGGTGATTATATAAAAAAGTGAATACATACCAAATTCCGGGTTCTAACACCAAATTGACTATTTCAGGTACATCGAATCTGTGACCTAAAGATAATAAAAATATATTACTACAACATAATTGATAATATATATAATTTCATAAAAATAAAATATAAAAGTCGGTATATGTTTAACATATGATTTTCTTAAAATTAGTTATTTGTTCTGAGATCTGATAGTTGTTCCGATTCTGATAAATCACTTATTTTAATAAGAAAAGGAAAAACGATTAGAT